AGTGACCACAGCAGCAGCTGCCACCACTGTCACCGACTCACCAGTGCGCAGGCTGCCCCATGTGGTCCCAAGGGTTGGCCAGAGCCGACGGCAAGGCTGTGGGCATGGTGCTGGGTGAGGCCCTGGCCCATGGGAGGGGTGTGACTGCTCCGCAAAATGTTTGCCTTGCAAAGCCCCCTGCGAAGGGGAAAAAAAAAAACCAAAACCCCACCATCCCCCCCTTTTCCAAAGGGAGCAGCAGCCTTTGAAGGGGGGGCTCATTAGAAATGACGTTAGGCCCAGCTCAGCTTCCAGATCAAAGCTGGTGGCTCCGGAACACTTATTTTTTTGTTCCGTAAGAGCAGCTCACACACGGCTGCACATGCCCATAAGCTCTTCTGCTCGTAGAGCATTTGTGGGGGACTGCCAGGGCTTTTTTAACACCTCCCTGCAGCTTTAGTAGCTGGCTCAGGCAGCAAGTGGCTTACAAAGCTGTCCCTGGGGGAGGGACGGAGCGTACGCAGCCACGGCAAAGTGAGAGCAGCCTTAAAAAACCAAAAACCAACAAACCAATGACAAGAAAAAAATGGAAATCCACCGCTGAAGGAGAGGTGCCGACACCAGGTGCTCTGCTCTGGCACGCTGGCCCCGGGGCAGGGTTACTGCCACAGCCCCCATCTCCAGGTCTGATCTGTCCCTGGCGCCCTCCACCTCCCAGCACGGCTCTCAGCACCCTTCAGGATTTTAACGGCAGATCGGCGAAGGTAACGGGAACTGAGGGACAGTGTGAGCCGGGACAGCTCTGCAGGTCACTTGCAGGGGCCAGACCATGAGAAGACCAGAGGCAACTCAGGCTCAATGGCCCCTGCAAGCTCAAGGTGTTCCCCCAGAGCCCTATTCCTGCTCTGTTCCTGCCCTATTCCTGCCCTTCTGGGAACAAGGGGAAAGCAGGGGGCTCTCAAGCCTGCTTTTACCGCATTACGTCTCCTCCTGGCCACGCAGGGTCCAACGTAACACCCAGCGCCACATCCTGCTCTTGCCTGCACCCCCCCTGGACTACTGCCACCGCCACCCACAGCTGGCTGCCAAATCCCACCCCAAATTTCTGTCTAAATCAGCCATTTTGACCACAGTTGTGCAAAATACCAGCTCGGAAGAAGGGTCCTAGTCCGCTGACAGCCAGGCCGGGCTGTTCTGCGCCAGCTTGGTGCCATGGAAGGACACCTGCATCACTCACCCCAACTGCGCACAGCTCCTACAGACGCAGCTTCCAAGGACAACGTGCAGGTTTTGTGCACCACTTCCATTTCACTCCATAGAAGTCACCAAAAGCAAAGCATTAGGGGGGCAGCAAGAGGCGCGTAGCTGTTTTCCACCTGAAAGCGCCATAATTCGAGCAGCTCAGGAAGAGGCAGGAGCAAAGCTCTGGAGCAAACACGGGAGGTGCCAGGCAGCCAAGGACAGGGACCCTCCTCTTCTCCTTTGGGAAAGCCGAATGGCCAAGTGAAGGCACAAATACTACTGAAGGCTTTCAGGTGTCCCTGCTTTTATCCCATCCACTCCCTCCCAAGTTGCTCAGCATCACCAAACCACCCTTTGCTGCGCACACATCAGCTGCATCCTCAGGAGTGCGAACTCTGTGGCATGGCATACGCAGAGCAGGACTGCTGCGAGGGAGACCATTGCAAGGGCATTTTCACCTCTGGGCGGTCGAGCTGAGGGGCTCCAGCCCACCGACCTGCCCCTGGCACGCAGAGGGAAAGTTTTCACAGCCTGCTTCTTGCTGATGCTTGGGCCCCCAACTCCACACCACGCATGGATGGGCCCCAGGTAAAGGTTTCTGAAACCCAACACAATTTCAAAACCCCCTGCAAAGGCCAGTGGAATTCTCCAGCTCCCACACAAAAGGGGTTTGGCTGAAGCAGGGTGTCCCACCCACTCTGGATTCCCGCTCTCCAGGACGCTGCTGCAGAAAAGCCAAATGACTGGCAAAGAGTGCAGGCATGGGAGCAGCAGCCTTCAGGCAAAGCAGCTGCCACAGTGCCTCCAAACCCACTCAGCATGGGAGTTTTCCATCACCACCTCGGCATCGGCAGGACACTGCAGGATGGTGGGTTGAGGACAGGGCTGGCTGGGGAGAGCAGAAATTGCTTAATGGCACAGGAACAATTATGAATGGCCCGAGCAGAGAGAAAACCACCCCGAAATGCATTCAGCATGTCTTTAATCATGTAACACTAAAACTTCTTTACAGTGTCATGGCAATCTACGCTTCACCATCTGCTTGATTCTTGTTCTGCCCCCATTTCTCAAAGAAAGAATAAAAATGACATTTTAAAACAGAACACATGGTTGTTTCTACAAGACTTCACTGCTTTAAGGGAGTATTTTTCGCCTGTTAGTCTTGTATAAACTTCTTAAATTACCAGAATTCTTCCTTTCTGTAAGAATTTTAACAGCTAAAGCGCTCTGCTCCCTACCCTCAGACCTTCGTTATGTCACCAGGTGTGCCTGCTGGTTTTGGACGGCAGCCTTCCCTCCAGGCTCGGGATGCACCCCAGAAATGGGAAGTTGCAGGGGGAGGGGGGGAAACAAAAAATATCATGAGTTATTTTAGGGGTATCTGAGTGTGTTAAAGTCGAGAGGTTAGCGAGAAAGATTACACTTGGGGCAGAAGGATGCACCGAGCATCCGCCAGGGCTTTGGAAGATACACGGCACTACATTACACACGGAGGGATTTCGTTATGGGCCATCAAAGAAACTGTTGCTGCGAAAGACAGAGGACACGATCTTCCCGGTGGAATTGATGGTGCCTTCACTATCTGAGCTGGACTCCGAGTCGCTGCTTCCCGAGTAGGCGCCCAGGCCGGGCAGGATCCCAATGCACACAGCAGCTGAGGGGCAGTGGACTGTGGAGCCCCCCACCGAGCTGCTCCCCAGGGGAACGCAGGATGGCTTCTCTGAAAGAGAGGCACCTCAGTCGGCAACGAGCACGCTGACAAGGGCTCAGGGCCGTCCCCACATGCCGGCCACCACCCTGGCAGTGGGTGGTTGCAGGACTTCATAAAAGCATAAGGCAGCTGTACGCTGCCATGAAACTACTGTGACGGGAAGGACTTGCTACCTCTGGGACTTTTTCTTTCCCTCATCAGTAGCTTAAGCCCAGCTCTATATTGGCACTACAGATTTTTATTCTGAAGTTTTCAGTTTGATGCTTGTCAAGTACCAAACCCACTAAATAAGAATAAATAGCTCTGCTTTGTGTAATGGAATTTTTTTTGTGATAGAATAGCGTAGTCGGGGAAAAGTTTTATTCCACCACTCCTCTAGTCAATGCCTCCCATCTTCCACGGCTAATTAATTAGTGCCAGTGTTCTGGAAGTTTAGAGAACAGGAGTCAGGAAGCGCCTTGTGTTGTCATTGCCCAACCGCCGTTTGCCCTGGCTATATCAGAGCATCCTGACAGCGAGTCAGCTGCAGCCTTGACAGCCAAGACTGAAATGCAGCTTCCTTCCTCCTCGAGTTCCCCGTAATTCTCTGAAACAAAGCAGTCTCAAGATGGAGGAGACCACAGTGTGAAAAGGTCACAGTGGAGGTACACAGAGACATCGAATGCCACTGCCAAGGGGAAGGGATGAGCTGTTCTCCGTGTCTCCTGTTGACAGGGCAAGCACGAGGCTCGAAGTAGAGCTCGGAAGCTCCTATTAGTTACCAGATAAAGCTCTCCAAGGATAAACTCAGTTAAGCGTTAGAATAATTTGCCTGAGGAAGGTGCACAATCCCTGTCTGGGGAGATTTAAGAGTAGCTCAGACAAACGTCTGTCAGGAAGGGTTTAGGAAGGGAATGGATGGGGAGGCTCCCTCCAGCCCTGTTTTCCATGCGGGCTGTCGGCCCCTGCCATTAACATTCCTACTGCTTTAAGGGCAAAGGCACCAACCCCGGTCCGTGCCACCTCGCGTAACAAGGTGCGGAAAAGCAAACCCTCCACCAGATTTAACACCAAGTCAGTTGCTGTTCAGGTGAGAGACAGGCAGTTCCCCACAGGCAGACGTCGGGACCTACCTTGGTTCTTTTCGTCATGATCAGTATCTAGCTTCAACCTCTTCATGCTGTTACCAGCATCCGAACTGTGGGGAAAAATAAGCAAGTGTCTGGTTCCTCATAAGCAACCACTTAATTACTGCTAAATCAAAGTCATATCTTCGCCTCAAACGTGACCACAAATGCTGGCAGGGCCCCCTGATGACCATCGCTGCTGCTCTTAACCCACGCTCCTCGGGGAACATGCAGGATCCTAGAAAGAGTCAACACCTACACTGTAAGCATCACCTCTCAACCCGGGAAACAGAACCGTGCCTCTGGGAACCCCAGCCAGACCAGTAACCTGAGGTACGGGGAAGCTCCCCAGAGGAGATGAGGAATGACCCCCTGAGTTCCAGCCACCCCACGTGACCACAGGCTGGCACACGCGGACAATTACCATACTTGATGGTGCGTGGTAAACCCCTCTGGGGTTTCCCTCCCCTCCCTCGTGCACCCAAGAGCCTGCTCAGACCAGCAGAAATCTTGCACCCAGAAGCGGCCCGCTAGGTTTTACGCAATTCACCCGCAGCTGCAGTGTCTGAACTAAAACAGAGATGGGTCCTTTTTGGGTCCAAAGTGGTGTTGGGGGAGAGGGGCGTTACTCGGACTTCTGACTCCAAGAACTTCTATAGCTCTTCCCTGTCACTGCTCAGTTCCTTTTCCTCCCTCTGGCACGTTCCTTATCTTAAACCATCCACCCAAGCAAATGCTTCCCAGCTTCAGCTGCGACGCACTGAAGCGATGAAGCATGAGCATTTTTATGCATTAACCCCTTTCTGTCCCTGCCAGAACATGCAGCACAGCTGAAAGGTTACTCCAGGCAGGGAGGTTTTCAGTCATCCACCCTTTACAGGCAACTGCAAAGCTCAGGCAGCAGACGCTGAACTTGGGCTGCGCTTGGGTTTGGCCAGTTTGCAAGAAAAGAGAAGACGGCAAAAAGAGAAGACTGCAGAGCAAGCTGTGACAGCGCTGACGCGTCAGTCAAGATGCTCTCTCCAAACAGATGCCATCTGCAGACCTTTGATCTGCCACTAAGGACACACCAGCTCCTTCTCCATGTCCTACTGGGTTAAGTCCTAGTAAAAAAACCCCTTGTTGGCTGCTTGCTATCAGTTCAGGGTTTCCTCTTCTATGCCCTCCAAAGACCTGAACAACTCCCTGGTCCCCCCATCAGGTGGTGGAAGCGCTTACTTCAGTTTGCGGACACGCAATTACTGCTGTACCGGGAGCTAAACATCACCCCACAAGACCACGCTTCTAAAATCATATCTCATTCGCTGGGACAGATTCAAAAACACTGAGTTTCCGAATGTCAGTAATATCTCAATTATTAGACGGGACATCTGCCCAGTTTCTCCATGACCTGCAGCACTCTAGCAGCTGCATTTGCAGGCCAAGATCAAAACAGCCAATGGATCACAAAGCCCTGGGATGGAAAGGGTATTGATGCATCAGGGCAAACCAGCAAGGAACAAGGGAAGCTCGCCCAATGCTCTTGGGATCAAATTGGTACGCAAAGCTCTTCTCTTGTAACCCACGTCTCCCCCGTGATGCCTCCCAGCAGCAATTAAACCAAACCATTGTAGACACAGATAAAATGGGCCGATAAATTACGCAAGCCTGGATAAAATTACATGAGTGAGGTGACACCAATACCTACAAACAGAGACGTAAAATAGATTCCCTGCAGATCCCCAAGCAGGGCTGCCCAAGCCTGGCAGTCCAGAGTGAAGAGCCTACCCACTTGCTTTACACACGCTTATTACTTGAATCGCTTCATGTTTTCCCCACAGTTTCGACGAGCCTATAGAAACAAGGCTGGTCTTTTCTTATACCTCCCCCCTTTTTTCTCCAGGGCTAAGGTTCGCACCTCGCTCTCTGGAGGCAGTTCTTGCCTGCCTCCCTTTACACTGCGAACTGGGTTCCGTTCCCCATGAATTTATAGAGGTGTGAAACTAACCTTCTGTGTTTCACAGCGCCTGCCAACAGCTTTGCCTGAGAGAATTTGTTCTTGTTTTCCACTGACTTCATGGGCAATTTCTTCTCCGTTTCCTTCTTTGGGTCCATACTGACTCCCACTTTGGTGAGAGTGCTGTGAATTAAGGGTTAAGGATCGACTGGAAAGGAATGGAGGGAACAGACACTTCCTCTCTGATATATTTAGCCAGCTCTGATGACAGCAGTGACCAAAGTTCATTAAACATATTCTATCAAAATAAACTTATTTGTACTCACATTTAGCTGGCACCTTCGGCTACGACAGAAGAGACCTCACCCTCTGGGTTTAGAGCTTCCTCGGGTATTGGTGCCAGCTCCCCCTAGAAAGGTGCCCAGGCAGCAGGCAAGGAGCTGCTTTTCTGAAGGCAGAAAGGTGCAGCACACAACACATCCAGCACTCATAAACATATCCATTGTCCTGCCTTTTCCTAAAGGTGTTGCAAAAGGAAAAGGTCAGACTGGACAGAAAAAAAGCAAAAAAAAAAGCAAAAAA